CAACATGCCCGCGCCGCATTCTACACCTAAAAAAACACGCGTTTAAGGAATTTGTAATTATTTTAATGCAAAAAGCATTACTTATAGCCACAATAACGTTTTTCGCTTTTTATAAATGCAGGGGGTAAAATAATTGCAGATTGAATGAGCTCCTTTTTTTTGTGGTGGTGGGGAAAAAATTTGCGGTCCAGACTTTTTTGGTCAGGGCGGGGAATATAACATCAACGTACAGTATATACATTTTATCCTGCAGCATGGGGGTTCACCCAACCACCAGTTCGATGCCCCGCCAAGCCACACAACATTCGAGAACCTTTCCACCTGCGTCAATGATTCTTGTCCACAAGCTGGCTTAATTTTGGACCACGCCACTGTCTCTTGTCCAAGAAAGCTGAGCCAAGTACATCACACCTGCATTGAACGTTTCCAAGCACCCCATATTGCCGATGGCGATGGCTTCTTTTCACATCTTCTTCTTAGCGTTTGGCAGCTCGCTTGTGTGCAAGTTGGTGGGATGGTCCCCACGCTTCCAATTCCGGTCGATTCAATCGGACGCCCTCCGCCCAGCATGGATGGGGACTGTTGCCTCCGCCTTGTGCTGGCATTTTCCTGGCTCCACGCTCTCGCGGCCGCCGTCAGAACCTATTGTCGGCGCCCTGACACACGGACCAGATCTAGACCTCGATGGGGCAAACAAACCTTGAGACCGAAACTCAATCATGGGCCTAGTGCACATGTGCGACAGTCTGGCCTTGTCGGACACGGTGAATGTCGTCCGCCGGGAGCCGAACTCAATCAAGCCCGGGCCGAGGGCGCGCAGGACGGGGAACTGCATCCACTGCAGCCAACCATCGGCCTGCCCGCCGGCGTTCAGGTTTGACACTTGAGCCTCCAGCCGGCCAGCCTGTCAGGTCGTGGAGAGCGACGACAGGATGTCGTGCTGGCCACAGGGCATGTATCGTGCGATACGGCACACAATCCCTGCATCGCCACGTCACTCTGTTTTTCACGGCGCCGAATCAACATCTGACCCACCCCCAGCCCTTTCGGGATGCCGTTTTTGTTTGTGTCTTCTGCTTTCCGCGGCCGTCGCGTGCTTTGTCAAAGTCATCGATCGAGCCTGGCGATCGTCGGTTCGACCCCACTCGGTGGCATGGCCTGGGCTCGCCGTCGCGCTATCAGCGTCTCGACGCGCTCTTGCGCGGCTTCACAGCTTCGCACCATCGTGTGGCCAGCCAGGACATGCGATTCCTCTCGTGAAGCGAGCCATTGGGTCGCAAAGTATATGCGCGCCTGTCCCATCGATAGCGCCCAACCAGGCGGGGCTCGCCCAGCCTAACTATAACGGAAGTGGGAGGAGACCAAGAGGAGACCAAGAGGAGACCAAGAGGGGCGGGGGTCCGTCGCGCGCCCCAGGTCTAGCGACGCTGACCCTCGTCCCTCCTCGCTCGGTGTACATGCGATAGTGAGGTGGCCCCCGGCCGGCCGTCGGCGGTGGACACATACGTGACGGCACTCTGGCGTCGCTAGCACTAGCGAGCTGCGCACATGACTGGACCTCGTCGTCTCCCTCATGGCGGTGCGGAGCTTGTGCGCCTGCGGGGGCGACTTGTAGCGTGCAACCTTGAGGCACCGTGGGCCGTGGCCTCGGCCCTGGCACGCCCGGTGATTCGCCGCGCCCGACGTTGCGACGCAGTTGCGCGGGAAAAAGGCTCGACATCGCGCAGCGGTCTGCAGGTTCCTCGCAGCCCCCGCGGCCAACGTGCAGCGGCAGATGCTCAGCAGTTCGCCGCCCTCTGATTGGGCGCCGTCCGCCGTTTTTCGGTCCCTTGGTGTCCATCCCACAGTTGGTGACAAGTTACGGCCATGTTAAAAATCGCTGAGCGCAGGTACACTTTTAACCCCTGGACAGCCCTTTTTTCTGTCCCCCTTTTTTTTTCGTGCGGCCAGGCTGTTGGCCTCTGCCTGATTTTCATCCGTCGCAGCTGCGTCAGGACGCAATCAAGAAACATCATGACAGCGCAACTGTCGCTCTTGCTCGACCTCGACCCGCGACATTCGCCCCCGATGGGCTCGCTCGTGTCCATTGCCGATGCTCTCTGGGCCATTGCCGCCCTTTCGCTTTTGTTCAAAAGGACGATGGGGCGCCAAACGCCGCAATGTCCATGATGCTGTGGTTCACCATCCTGCTCATTGCTGTAACCTTTTGGCTTACATTTTCAAGCCGTTTTAGCCGTCTGTGAGATAGCACGGCGTGTGCGCTTATCAACAGCACCAGTCCCAGAGAGACCAAGCAGCCATGCTCGGAAGATACGCATCAGAGACCAGCTCGGCCGCCCGCGGTCCGACCTCCTTGTCCGGGGTTCTCCGGCTCAAGGAGTCGGCCGGCGGCGTCTACGAGAAGGCCCACCTCTCCCTTTCCGCTGCTGAGGCGCGCTTTGTGGCCCTCGGGAGTGAGACATCGCGCTCTTCCACCCCGGTCACGGATGCATCGACCTACCAGACGCCGTCTTCCGTCAGCTCCTGGGGGACGACCGCAGGGTCGCAGGTCGAGTCGGGAGAATGCAGCTACCCGGGAGAGGACGAAAAGAGGTCTCACGATCGCAAGTGGGACGAGGAGTATGTCTCTGCTTGTGTCTTCCCCTTCAGCCCCGCGCATCTGTTGTTGTCTCCTATCAACCTGCTCCCTATGTCCCTGGCCTGTTGTGGGGAAGGAACTATATAAGCATCCTTGACTAACCATAGTCCCCACCCCGGAGCAGAAGCCTTCCAGTCCGCTCGCGCCGGCCCTCAGAGGAGTCACCCATGTATCCCACCGTCTTCAGGCCGCCTACCGCCAGCCGCAGCAACAACTCGGACAAGGCCAGCACGTGCAGCAAGAGCGGCAGTGCAAAGTCCAGTGAGGTCGCTTCTCCACGGCAAAAATCGGACGTGAGCGACACCGAGTCGTGCATGGCCGACGATGAGGACCGCGAGAACGATGACGACGACGAATACTGCGGAGAAGACGACAGTCTCGACGCAGCAGTCATCGCGGCCGTCGACGGGGATCTCGCCCTGGCCGCCTATCTCATCCCTCTGCTGCACCGCTCCTTCAGCTCGGCGGTGCGCACCAAGGTCGAGGCATGGCAGTGCGGCAGCCCTGGCGGCGGCTCGGCTGGCGGGCGGTCTTCTGACAGCCAGCACGCCGGGTCGTCTGCCAGCGGCGGCAACAGGTCGCCTATCGCGCCGCGCAAGCGCAGGCGGCGGACCAGCTCGGGCGACGGCGAGCGCGCCGGTGACGGAGACGGCGGCGACGACGACGACGAGGGAGGCTCCGGCAAAGCCAATAGCCACCCCGAGACGCTCGACGCGCACGCGCCGCTCCTTGCCTGCCCCTTCCACAAGCTCAACCCAGCAAAGTACGGGATCCAGCACGGCGCCACGTCGAGCAACGTCAAGAGCGACTACTACCGCGCGTGCGCCGGGCCCGGGTTCAAGACCATCCAGAGGCTCAAGTATGGACCACCTCCTTTCAGACAGTTCCCGCTTGTCCTCCTGCCGCCGGTCGTGTTCGTCGGCGGAGTTCGTATGGCCTGCAATCCTAACCTCCTCAATCGTAGGGAGCACCTGAAGCGAAAACACACCGTCGTCCAGTGCGAGCGTTGCTACAAGATCTTCCGCGGCAACAACCGCGAGGCCTCCCAGCAGCTGACGCAGCACTCGCGCAGCAGTGAGAGCTGCCAGATTGGCGATGCGGCGCTGAGGGAGGGCATCAACAATGTACAGTGGGCGTTGTTGGACAAGCAGAACAGGAAAAAGCCCCAGGAGACCCACAAGCTGGAGAAGTGGTTTGAGATTTGGGAGATCCTCTTCCCCAACAACGACAAGCCAAAAACGCCATGTAAGTCCACGACAATGTTTTCTTCCGTGGTTTACCCGTGGCTAGGCCGGAGAATAGCCCAACTAACGCCTCTTCCTGTTTCTCCTTGGCAGGGTATGACGGTCTTTCCATCGCCTCTTCGGGTCAGTCAACACCTGAGAGCGAGCAATTCGCGACCATCTTCGTCAACATCCTCACGCACAAGGTCCGGCAAGGAGACATTGCTCTACAGGCCGACGAGAACACGATGGGCCGGCTGAAGAATGTGGTGGAGCAGACGTTCAGGACCTGGGTCAACACGCGCGACGACCTGCAGCTGACGGACGCGTCGTCAAGCCTGGCCGGCAGCGCCCTGCACTCATCGTCGCGCGTCGGCGGCTCCTCCACACACCTGTCGGGCCCCTCCAACAGCGCCTCGCAGCAGTTGACGGCATCGTCGTACAACAGCGGCGCCCACATCCCCATCGCCCCGGCGTTGCGCCACCCGCAGCAGCAACAGCATGCACAGCAGTCGCAGGCTCAGCAGCAGGCGCCGCAGTACCACACACACGCGCTCGGCATGCAGCCCGGCGGCGGCCCGCAGTACATCGCCATGCCCATGGGCCGCCAGCCGACGCAGTTCTCCGGGGCCATGGGTGGGCCGGCTGGTGGCGCCGCGGCGATGCCACTGGCCAACTTCAACGGCGCCATGCACGCGGCCGGGCCCGAGGACCTGAACAATGGCTGCTTCGTCGTCATGCAGCCCCAATTCTGGGCCCCGACAAACATGCCCGTCCAGTTCGGCCTGCCGTTTGCCACTCCCGGCGCCGCCCACGTGAGCCCTTCCGAGTACTACAACACCGGGACTGAGGACAACTTTGGGCCGAGCGGCGCAGAAACTGATTTCATGTGATTATTCGTATCTTTTCGCATCAAGGGGCGTCATTTTGCTGGTATTTGGGAGGTGTCTGGGCAGTGTTTGGGCGGCTGGTTTGGTTTGCTCCTAGGTTTATGGGAGGCAGTGCCAGGTGCATGTGGTGGGCAGAGAGTCGGCGCACTCATTCGAGGCTTAGGTTCATTTGTTCTTTCTGTTGCATTTTACCGTATCTCTTGAGGGGGTCCACAACGTACAACCCCCGAGTAAATAAATCTCCTGGCATCCTTCCATTCGAGGTTCCGATTTAGTGGGTCTATTCGACGATGTATTGGCGTGGGAGGGAACCACGATCGCACTTATGGGCCTCGTAGGCCTCGCAGGCGTGCGCCTTGCTGCGCCTGCTGCGCCTGCTGCGCCCCGCTCTGCTCCATCCTCCTTCGCCATGCGATAGCAGCTGCCACCAGGATGCCTTCCTGCTCCTAGGCGCGCAGGCAGGTACCTTCCATGGTATAAAAGTCGAGAAGATTGTCGCTCCCGTGGCCCGACTTTATCACATTTCCCACTCTGGCAATCAATTTCTCGTCATCGATCCCAACCATCTAGCACACGACAATCCCCCACGATACCCCAGGGCCATGTCTGACAACGACTCGGATTCCGAGGCGAAAGTGAGGTGCAAAGAGATATACAGTTTTGCGGCCAACAAAGCCGTCCGAGTAACATACGCCGATATACGATCGGTTCTGAATGTATTGGACGTTTGTGGTGGTGGAGGGTCTGCCCAAGTTCTAGGGCCCTCCGCATGGGATTATCTAAGAGGCCGGGGTAAGTGGCAGACACCATCCACAGAAGTACTCCTGTTGACATACCGCGCGCGTGCTTACTGAACCGAGGCTCCTGCTAGACGATGACCTTGACTGGTTCACTGAACTTCCCCCAGACGTTCAAAGCTATGGGCGCCCCAACGTAAGGCACCAAAAAGCAGTCTCGCTAGACATTGACGGTGAGTAGTGGGTATCAAGGAAG